TCTCCCCCTCCCTCCCAGACTTGAGAGCCTGGGAGGGAGGGGGAGACTCCAAGTGGCCGGGCGCCGCTTCTCCCCCTCCCTCCTTCCCTCCTAGGCTTGAGAGCCTGGGGGAAGCAGGCAGGGCTGGGGATTTGGGGAAGGGGCGGAGTTGAGGTGGGGCAATTAAAGAAGGGGGGGCGGCCAAAATTGTTTTTGCTTTGGGCGGCAAAAATCCTAGAGCCGGCCCTGGGGAGATCAGACCCCACCTCCAGAGAATACAGAAGTGAGGATAGTAGGCAAGGAAGGGTGTCCTTTTGTGAGGATATCTGGTCCATGCTGCTTCCAAGTTGGACTGGAAATACCAGTGAGAACAATCTTTCCCTTATAGCATCAAATGCAAGAAAAACTAATTGTGACAAGAAAATGGTTTCATAAACTTCCATGAAGACAACACAGGATGTTGAAACAAAATCTTTTTTAAAAAAATATCCAGTTTTATTTCAGGTTTCCCCTCTTATTCTCAAGTCTTTTTACATTTATCAAAACTGGGATAGCACTTGTTATTTAAATGCTCAGAAAGATTACAATGGAGTCTATGGGCAACTGTAATTCTCAAATGAGCCAGCGGATGGGGCTATTATTAAGAATTATACTGTATAATCCCTTCCATTTGATTTTCAATCTCTCTCAGTAAAGGAACATGTATAAAAGCAAGATGATGAGCACAAGGGAACTTGATGCTGCATTTCTAATGAGAACTTTGCTGCAAGGCTATCAATTATTCCTCCTTAAGAGCATCCATGAGAGCAACCCAAGAGAGAGGTGTGTAGAAACTATCTCAGATTTGTTTAATGGAAAGGGCTGGGAAAGAGGGAGTGGAGAGGAGTTCTGTCTTTTTTTGTGTGTTTTATAGTGTACGAAATTCTCAGAGATGTTTTCCCCTCACTTGTTTTTTCACAGTGGAAATTCCAGTCTTGTTTCCCATATTTTTTCCTGAAAGACACTCTGGAGAACTGAAGAACTAGAAGGTTTGTGTCATTAGAAACTTTATGCAAATAAAACCTTTGTAACTGAGAAGGGATTTCTCTCTCCAGAGTGTTTGAAATGGTCTGGGGTTTATTTTATTAAGGAAAGTCAGCACCTGTGCAGCCGGGCATGTGCTGTCAGGAGGAGGGAGTGGTGCGCTCCAGCTGGATAGCGTGGGTTCATCATCATGTTCAGTTTTTGCAGGGAAGTGTTTGCAGCTACTGCCCTGTATCTATTGGTATTCCTCCCTCCTGCCTCAGTCCATGCTGCCTTGTAGAGTGTGAGGCTACATTAACAACAGCGTATTAACCCTTGAGGGCTCAGCCAAAAGCTAGTTCATCATTTAGCAGCAAGGCGTTCCCTGGGAAATATTCCACCCTCTTACTCCACCACCTCAACCACACTTTACAATCATTCATTGCTGTGTACAATATTAAACTGCTTGTTTAAAATTGTTTAAAAAGCTTATACTGTATATGTATATAATGTCTTTTGTCTGGCAAAAAACATTTCCCTGGAACCTACCTCCCCCTATTTACATTAATTCTTATGGGGAAATTGGATTCGCTCAACATCGTTTCGCATAAAGTCGCATTTTTTAGGACCATAACTACAACGTTAAGTGAGGAGTTACTGTAATTTAACTTGCATTGCTCAGGGGTGTGTAAAAACACCCCTCTGAGCAATGTAAATTGACTTACGCGGTAGTGTAGACAAGCCCTAAAAACTATTTAACTCAAAAACCTGACAAATGCTTGGGGAGACTTTGTTAATCAAATGTGGGAAATAAGTTAACTTTTAAAGGTCTAAGAAAGTAAGTCACCATGCACACCCAAGGAGATTGTTTGTATTTCTATGGTAACACATAATGTCACGACACCTTTAAGTCTATTTCTTCACCTCCATTCCCCTACAGCAATAAATTCCAAGCAAACTGGGGAAAGTCCCAGAACACACTAGTAAACTGCTACAGCTCATGTAGAGAAGAACATATGGCATTTGGGGGTCTATTCTCCATACACATGCCTAAATTCCATTAACATTAGTAAGAGTGATGCACAGACAAATGGTTTGCAATTTTCAGATAATCTCCTCCCAGAACCTAATATGCAAATCATAAGGTAATATTTACTTCATTATAGAAAAGTGACATTGATGAATGATGGCTGAGGGTCTTCGATTCAGAGTCTGAAATCCTGACCCTGAAGTCAATGGCAAAATTCCGAGGATTTCACCCTCAGATTTTTATTTTACTTTCTTTTTTACTACTTCTATCTTCTGCGTCAGGAAAGTTGGTCCAGTGGTTAGGGAACTAGTGGAGGACTTTGGATAATCTGTTTCCAGTCCCTGTTCTGACATGGATTTCCTACATGACCTTGGGAAAGTCATTTAGCCTCTCTTTGCCTCAGTTCCGCATCTGTACAATGGAGATAATAGCACTTCCCTACCTCACAGGGTTGTTGTGAGGATAACTACATTAAGATTGTGAGATGTCAGATACAGCAATAAGGGGGACCACATAAGTAGTATAGATACCTCTATAGTCATTTAGCTTCTATTGATCTCAAATCCATCCTACTCACTCCCCAACAGGTGCAGAGGTCTTTTAGTTGCAGAACCATTGCACAAGACAAGGGAGAAGAGGAGAAGATTTGGGGATATCACTAAATGGGTCCACACTAGGGCCAACTTTTCACAATGCCACTTTTTTCTATTCATGAATTATCAAACAAGACTTTTAGGACCAGATCTTTAGCTGGTGAAAGTCAATGTAACCCTACTGACTACAGGACAAATACATCAATTTACACCAGCTTAGAATCAGGGCTTTACACTGTACAAAAATATGTGTTGTTCAACAAATGGTTATTCCAACATAATACTGCCTATGGATAGATCGCAATTGAGTTAGCACTGGGACTATCACTTCCATTATAGTGCTATTCATATTGCATGGTAGTATTTGTGCCATGTGACTGGATACTTAGATCACATGGTCTTGTGTTGGTCTCTAATGGATGACATGTGGCTTTCAAGATGGTGTTTACACTGTTAGTGCAAAAACTCATAGAATTTCCCTTGTGCAGACCTAAACTGTTTTTGTGCTAAGCTGTGCACATATACACTTGTTCCTTAACTTCTGCATTCCACCCCAGAGGTGGTTAAATATCAGTGCTCGCTTTAGTATTATCTGTGTAGTTTATAAAGCAATTTGGGTTCCTTAAGAGAGAGAAAGAGCTGCTATAGACAGTAAATGTACAGTAAGTTATTCTCATTACAGTGAAAATTGGGCTAACATTCCCCTGCTATCTTTGGTCATCAGTCTTAATGGGCAGCAACATATCAGTTCCAATCAGAGTCCCTCATATCGAAAGCACTATGTTATGCAACCACCCATCACAATGGCCAGAAGTTGTACCCTTTCGGTTTGTTATTATTGCAATAGTAAATATATTATATGCACAGTTTGTTCTCAGACTAAAATGGACTACTCAAATATATGTGCATTGTATGCCAGTTTAAATATTAAGCAGGTTCTCAAAGTTTTAACTTCACTGGACAAGCATATTATCTCCATTTTTTTATTTAAAAAGGTAGCAATTTCAACAGTATGCCTCCTCAATCAATCAAGCTGTCAAAAGTTCTTTGTCAAAAATCTCTAGTACAATTCAAAGAAAAATATACCAATTTGTAGTAATAACTCACTCAGACTGACAGATGAAGACAACTGCACATCTTCCCCACTTTGCCATTTAACAAATGAGATGCCAAAAAACAAAAGCCACAAATCACTTTATCAAGAACTAAACACAAAAATATTAGAAATGGACATGCAGCTTTAGATAAATGAAGAACACTTCTCACACATACATATTAGCACACAGTTCATGCAAAATTTGAACAGAATTTTCTTTGAGGTTAAAACACCCTTTTTCTCATTTTCATGCACCTTTCCTTAAAAGCTTGCCAACTGCTTGATATAACTACATAACTTTTAACAGTTAGTATTGGAACTAAGTAAGTTATTTCCTAGAATAATAAGTATGGGGAAAATACAAGGCAATACTG